TGAGTACCTGGATCTCAGGGAACTGAGGGGAAGGTGGGGAAGGAGCACAGAGCAAACACCTTCAGCTGCTTCTCACTCCAGCCACTCCAGCAAGTGCAGCTTCCCTGGAATTTCATGTCCAAGCCCAACAGGTGAAAAAACAGCTACTCCAAGATTTACTTCCTTTGAACTGGAGGCAGCAGAGACCCTCCAGGAGGAACGGGAATCCAAGGGCACATCTAGAAATGGTCCTCCCTCCTGCCACTCTCTCCCCAGTTTCTCCTTCCAGTGGGATGCAGGTGCCACTCCCCAGTGACAATAAAATAGAAGGCTGAGACAGCACAGCCCCCAAACCCTCCCAGTCTCCAGCTGCTGCACAGATCTGTGGCCAGACAGGACCCAAATCCACAGCACAGCCTTGGGGGAGATCCAGCTGCTCGTTCCCAACCACAGCCAAACCTCCAGTGCCACTGTCTGTCAGCCCCTGCTCCCTCTGCCCTGAACCTCTGGCACCCCTGCTTTGAGTCCATATCCACAAACCCACAATGCCAAGGGCAGAGTTCTCTGCCCACCAAGGACACACCACCCAGCAGGGACATTTCTCTCCTCTCCAACAGAGACCTCCACACTCCACATCCAACTTGGGGAACACCAACTCTTATCCGGGCTGGAAAACAGAAGAACAAGAAACACTTAAAACCATCCCAGCCTTGAGAGCGTCCAGGCCTGGGAAAAAGCCCTTCCCACCCCATGCTTGGCCTTTCCTGACCTGAGTTGTTCCTGGAATGCACATCCACCCCTGGATCAGACACACTGGGGTGCCTCCTGCACACCAAACACCACAGCCCCAAGCACCAGGAGCCTGCAGATGCTCTGCAGTGCAATCCACAGCCTCACTCAGCCCTACAAGGGACAGCAAAGTGGCTTTTCCTCCTCCGAGAGAGGAGAACTCACAACAGACAGTGCTGGCCCAGCTGAGCAAGAGAATCCATCCTGGCTCACTCTGTTCTTGTAAAACACTGCAAACCCTGCGGGGCTGAGGTTTAAAAAGCTACATTTAGGTCACCAAAAAGCTCCCTGGCTGGGACAACTCACGGATCACAAAATCTGCGTAAAACCTCCCAGGAAGAGGTGCTGAGCGCACGGGACTTCAAGGTGCGGCAAGCAGGGGTTCCCTGAGCTGCAGGGACATGGCCCTGAGCGCGGCTGTGGGCTGCTGCGCCCTGCAGACCGTGCTCTTCAGACCAGCTCTCCGTCAGGATCTGGCTCCTCGCGTGGCACCCGCGGACGCTTGCGGGCAATCAGGGCAGGAGAAGCTCCCCTTCCCTGGGCAGCACCCCCCAGTTCCTCACCGGGAGCAGCAGTCCCGCTCTTACCTGCGGAAATCCACGGAGTTCAGGGTCACAGAGCAGCTCCCAGGGCGATTCTCTGTCGCAGCAGCAGCCGCGACTCCGAGGAACGGACAACGCCATCTTGGGGGGGGAAATGAGCCACCACTTCCGGTTCGGACTCTGTGGTTCCGGTTTAGTCTCGATGGTCTTGGAGGACTCGCCGGCTTATTTTATTTTTTTCTTCAAATTTCGCTTTGTGGTTTTTTCTTCTTTTTTTTTTTTCTTTTTTTTTTCATTTTGTTGCACTTCTTTTTGGC